GAAAGAGATGTGCATTCAGCATTCATTTTTTAAAAAAAATATGAAATTTGAGCATAAAAATAAATTCAAAACTAAATATAGATATTTTTGATAAAAATTATAATAAGTAAAAAGTGTGTGAAGGGTAAGGTATTTACGTTAGTGCTGGTATTATGTATTTTAAATGAGACTAAATTTCCCAACTCTTTCTTTTAATAAAATGTTTTCATAGTTATAAAATTACTATTAATACAAATGTATCTTCAATTTGTTTTTGTAATTACTCAGGTACATAAAAAAATCATATGAAAAGGGCAATCGGGACTCTGATGTTTAATATTATCATAATAGAGATTAACCACAATTAAAGATCAAATGTAATTTATGGGTATACATTAGTGCATGGTCATTGTTCTGAACGATCAAAAAAAAAATTAAATTTATGTAACAAGTGTTTCACAGCTCCAAAGCAGGAGGATAAATTATTTTATATTTGCTGTAGCTGCTAAGCCAAAAGGTGTTTCATCTGACATTATTTATAATATAAAAGAGTGGTTTTGTGAGCCAGAAAATGAAATGTATTTTATAATAATAATAATAATATGATAACTGGCCCTTTAATAAAAATAAAAAAAACTTCAAACACCCAAATTAACTTGGTACCACTAATGTACTTGAAAGTACAAACCATATGGTAGTATATTTTAATGTTTGCTTCTTTATGGTAAGAGAATTTAAGGTTTTATATTCACAAAATACACTCACATTTAAAAATTATTTTTAATTGTGAGAACTACACTGGTTTTATGCAAACAAGAACAAAAATTATGGGGCCTGCAACAATTAGGATGTAGATACTTCCTTTTTTCTTTGACATGAAGAAATTCCATAAATTCAAAAGGGGCATCCAGAAGATAACGAGTGCTATGCATGCCACTAATAGGAATCGTCTGTATGTGTTCTGCTGCTAGTAACACTGAAAGAAATTTTAACACAGAAAACTACTTCCTTCTATGTGCCTGGTGAATAACTGTAAAACATCTTGTGAGATTTTTCACCAAAAGAGTATTTCATCCTAAACTGAGGAAGTAAACAGAGAAGTCCTTTTTTACCAACAGAAAATGGTTGAAGATATTAAATATGTCTGAGTCCAAAATTACCACATCGCTCTCTAAATCTAATCTCTCTCTCTTTTGTTTTCCAGTCACAATATCAGCATTGTAAGCATTAGCTTACAATTTGCACTAGAAATAGATTTTTTAATACACTAACAATTACAACTACATCTTATAGGAATCCCCTCACAGAATACCGTCCATTGATGGGCCTACTTCGGGCTCATATATCAGTGAATACTTGATGAGTATTAGTGGAATATTGTTTTAAATGCCATCAGTAAACTAGATCCCATCTATGTTTTTGCAAGCTTCTATGCACAGTAATTCTGAACACTTTTAAATGTGCCATTTTAAATGGCACAGTGGTTATATAGGAGAATACTATTTAAGCATGAAATATCAAGGTATTGGTAGCTTACTCTGAAATGATTCAGTGGGGAAAATACACATATAAATAAACACACATATAGACAGAGAGAGAGAGAGACATAAAGCAACTGTGGTAACATGTTAACTATTATTGAATGTAGACGATGTGTATGTGGGTATTCATTGTATTATTCTTTCAAGTTTTCTATATGTTTGAAAAGGTTATAATAAGTTATAACATATTTTTAAAATAGGATTTTTACTCTTCACTGGGTTAGCTTTTAGGAACAAAAAAGGCAAGATGTTCTTATCCTTAAAACTACATAATATCTCTTATTTTTAAAACATATGAAGTCTAAAAACATAAAGTAAACCAAGACTCTTCATTTTCTTAGAAATTACTTTTCCTCATTTATTGGGTGTTCCACATTTTCAATTTTCTTCACATTAAGTCCTAATGTTTGTCATCTTGGCTATGAATAATTAATTCTTCTAATTAAACTCAAGGAAATATGAGTTCAAGAAAATAACTTAGGTCTTTACACAGTATACTTTCCTTTTACTCTCCACACTTTTCTGGACTTGCTCCAATGTTCACTGTTACCAGACGCTAGCTCCAATCAGCCATCCTCTTGAAAATAATCAGAGAGCAGGCCCTGTCATACCTAACATTTAGTTCAAAGCCTGTGGGCACTTAAAATTTGTTCTTAAATCTTTTCATAAAGTTAGTAGGGTATATATGTGTCGCAGAAAAATTTTTCCTGACATTCTAATGAAGAGCTATAGAAGCTACATTGAACCTCGGGGATGCAAGAAAAAAAAAAAAAGAATTCTTAAAATTTAATCATAGTGCCTTCTTACTCTCCAGATTTTCAGGACACATGGCAGTCATACAAGAGCCAGTAAAAGAGCTAGGGCATACACCACCTGCCTCTAAAACAATCCAGTTCTCTTGTCTTCACCGTCGCAGCTGCTTATTAAAACAAGCTTATAGAATATTTCTATTCATTGTTGCTTCTGTTAGATAATAAAAACTGATTTTTTCTAGCCTTTTTTTAAAACTTCGACAATAAATTTCACATCAGGAACTTAGAAAAATGAGCTTCTTATGAATGTAACTTCTACTAAAAGTCATACTTCCATTCGTCCAATGCTTATTTAAAATTGCTACTTTGGTGACATGAAAATCCCTTCAAAATATATGCTATTAAAGTGCTTAAATTTGGAAAACATCCGGCATGATGAATTATTTGGGGGCTTGTGGTCTAAAGTACATTGGTTGAGGTAGTATATTTGGAAAGAATTCACTTATCATTCTCCGTCTTCATAGAGAGCCAGCCCTGAAAACGAATGTATGTGGTAGTTCCCTGCTACCACAGAGAATCAATAGCCATCTATTTAATTTGCTAAGACAATGTAAATTAGTAACTTCCAGCCAGATGTGCAATATACACATCAAACAAACTGCAACCTGTTCATTTTGAAAATCCTGTCAACACACACAGAGCCACTTGATGACATTTTGTCTAAGGCAGTTTCCACATTTGCAGCTATAAAAATTGTCCAAGAATTTTTATACAAAGAATTGGAGCTGCAGAGTCATAAAATGGTAATCAATTTCAGCTTTTCATCTTGTGTGCTTGTGTATACATGCTTATGCGTGTTTATTTCTATTTTCATTTGGCAGTATAAAATGTTTGGGAAAATGCATGCCATGCTGTCTTTCTTTTCATAAATCATTTATTTATCCTCATTACACCTTTTTAATCTGATGTAAAGCTGCTGGTCTAATTCTGCAGTTCTGAAAAAGTATGTAAAGTGAAAAATGACAGTCAACAGAGAAAAGAAAGTACACTTATTCACTGGAAAACAAAACAGAATATTTCAAAATGACTCCAAATATAAATTAAGTTTATCCATTGGGAGGTCTAACTTGCATTCTTATCATTTATATGGGTCTGTGTGACTATATACCCTGCTGTTTGATAAAAAATGATTATTAACCACAGGCACCCACCAGAGAACAGAGTGTATGTATAATGCTTGTGATGTCTCAGACATACAAAGCACCTTCTTAAAGAATGTCCGTTTCCTTTCCATGGTAAGCAGACATAGTTTTTCACCTTTAATACTTCTGCCTCACAGAGTGGCTTATTTTATGAATTATGCTTTGCCATTTTCTCTTATGTTTATTTTAATAATAAGTCAAACTGCATTTATAAAATAGATGGTTTTGTTTCATGATACCCAAAACATTAGTATGTTTTCTGCTCTGTTAAAATCCACAGCCTTCTTGCTATTACTGAATCTAATAGTATTTAATATTCTTTACTAATTAAAATAAAATAAATAAAAAGACTCTTCTTAATAACCAGCTATTATTCTTGAATACTGAATCCTAATCTAAACCAAATTCATTTTCTAAGTCTGTTGAGTTATATTATTAAACAGGGTACAGAGTAAATACTCTTATTGCCAAGCATAATATTTCCACCTACTACATTTTTAATTTGGCAATTTAGAACACCATGAAATTAATCTAGTCGTTATCGACTATATAGTTGGATTCCAAATAGCACCCTTTAACCAACTTCCTAATGTTAAAATAGCATTTGTACTAAGTGCCTGTTGTATCAACTCCTCCAAAGTAGATGATAACTCCTGCGGTCCCCTAAAATCGCAAGAATTTCAACCTCTATAAAAAAGGCGACTGCGCATACAAAAGGGTTCTTCATAAAGGCTTCAACCCTAAGCAACTTGACTTTCACAAACATTTATACAGAACGTGCTTTCTTCACCAGCCACACACCAGGCCACGTGATCAGCCTGCAGGGCCACACCGGCATCTAGAAACCATTATTGTTTCCAGAAAGAATAAGGCCCAAATGCATCCGCCGCAGCTGCCCCGCCAGCCGCGCCCGCAGGTGGCATCGCGAGCCCGTCGCCTCACCCCGCGAAGCGGCAGCGCAACGCGCGGGCCCGGGGCGCCGGCCAAGACTTGCAGCATTAGCTCGGCGGGTTCCTTTGCTTTCTGGGTGTAAAGTCAAACCCTCCTGGTCACTTAAACCCGCTTTGTGGTTCAGGGAAAGAACCACTCTCTCAGAACTCTTAACTTTGATTGGAGACTCTGGTTAAAATTAAGAACTTCAAACCCCAGATTTGAAAAAGTGAAACAGATGTCCTGTTTGTTAACCATAAATGGCTCCGTACGTCGGACCCTTTTCTTTCTTTCTGCCGCATTAAGTTTTATTCAATGCAGAGTTCGCTTAAAAGGTTAAAAAAAGAGAGTAGAAAGCAAATATGGACTGTGGATGGAAGAACTCCTAAATCATTCTCTAGAAAATAATGAAGGCTGCCTCTTCAGAAAGATGAAGGTGCTGGAGCTCCCTCCTCCCAGCGCAGCCAGCACTTGGAGGCCGAACTGACGTCCCCAGTGGACTCTAGCCGCGTCCTGACCGGCCGCGCCCCCGCCCACACCCTCCCGGGGCCGGAGTCGCCCGGAGCGGGCGCAGGGGATCCTGGGCGGCCACTCACGTGAGAACGTAGTTGACGCTGACGATGCAGTGTGGCCTGGACGAGCGGCTGTTGTGCACGATGGTCGCGTAGCTCTGCACCCACACCCAGCCACCGTGCTTCGCCAGGAACCTGTAGTACTTGGTAGTCACTTGCCCCTTCACCAGCACTGATGGGGAAACAGAAGGCAGAGAATTGTGAAAGAGCCCGCCCCAGGATGGCCCCCAGTGCAACCCCTGGTGGTGAAGGTGGGGGTCCCTTGTGGGACCTAATATCTGAGCGAGGCAGGAAAAAGAAACAACAGGGAAACTCTCCAACGCATTGATTGTCCAATTAATTTGCATTGAATCCTCCCGCCCCCTTTACGGGATGTTAACAGGGCCGCCCTTCACTGGGCCGACGGCTTCACCTTTAGCAAAGGAGAGAACACCTAAAGGTGAGGGTTTCCAGCAGATTCAATTTTCTAACTACAGAAGGAAGGAAGGGTCTGAGCAGCTAAACTCCGACGCTCACGTTCTCTGTCCCGGGAGATTTAGACTAAAATAATATCAAAAGCCGAGGCGAGTCAATGCGCCAGAGGGAGCAAAGTGGGCTGGCCTAGGTTTTTGTTTGCGATTTTGGTGAAGTTGGGGGTTGGGGTGGGGAGAGGAAGACATCAATAGGAGAATGAGACCCCCGGGGGTGGGGTGGGAGGGAGTTCGCCCAGAAACACTCCATCAGCCTTTGTGTACTGCCCAAAAATGTTCGAGAAACCTGGTAGGGCCCAGTATCTGAGCGCGGCCTCATACCCCCTCCGCCCCCCACCCCTGCCCGGAGGGCTCCCACGCTTTTACTTCCTGTGGGCTGAAACCGCGTCTCCCACCCGGGGACGCGCAGGAGCTGTCGGGTGCGGGGCAGGGCCAGGGCGGCGTCTTACGCAGATGGTGCGCGCAGCGCAGATGGAAGGTGTCGCAGCCATGCACGTGGTGGTACAGGGTCTTCTCAATCAGGTCCTGAGGCTCGTACCCCGTCAGCTCTGCCACCCTGCAGAGAACAATGCTCACAGTATGAGTGCAGGGTGCAGGGTTGCCCCCACCCAAGACAGGCGTCTCAGACCTCGGTGCCTGCCCTCACTTCGAAGGGCCAGGTCAGTCACCTCCTCTGCATAATGGGCTCATAAGGTCTATGGGAAGGTCTCCATCACTGAGCAGGGCCGCTCTCCCTGCCAGAGGCAACCCTTTTTGCCCGTGCCCGCCCACCTGGAGTCCAAGAAGATGAGCTTCATGTCCAGGCTGGCGCGGAACATGAACATATTGCTGTGCAGCTTGATCTCCGTGACAGCGCTGGGTGGCAGCGAGTGGCCCACGGCCACCAGACCCACATTCTGGTAGCAGCCGTCGAAGGGGGACATGTCCAGGCTGTACTGTCGGATCTTCAGGTAGCCACTGCAGTGAATGACCTGTGGTGGGGAAGCAAGACTCAGCACCCAAAAAAGTAGGGGGGAGGGTTGGAACATGGTGAAACCTTCCTCAGCCACAAACTCCCTGTGGGCGACGCCCCGCACTAAAGTGTCCAAAGTCATTGGTACTCTGAGGTGTCTCAGGGGTGACTGCATCGCTGCACTGGACTACCTGGGAGCTAGTAAAAATACAGGGGGCTATGTCCCGCCAACCCAAACGCATCTGATCGCAAGGTGGAGCCCTGGAATCACATTCAACTTGAGAACCAAGGCTCTGAGCTAAAGCATTGATTCTTCAGTACTCTGCGGGTTAGAATCTGACTCTACAGGACTCTGACAATCCACAGAAGTTACCGACCACTTCAGACGCTTTAGGGAACCCTCAGGCCCATCCACGGGCCCCAGATTAAGAGCTCCCAGAGTCGAGCAGAATCCCAACGCAGTCCTACTTAGTCTTAAAGCTTAGTCCCCAGGTGTTCACAAAGTTCAATGACCCACAAGGCACGTTCCAGCCGCCAGCACTTTGACAAGTACTGGGGCACCCACCCAGGAAGGCTGCAGGTACCTCCCGCTCACGCTGCCCGCGCTGAGTGGCCTGCGCACAGACTTTCCAAGCAGCTTCGAGCTTCCAGCTCAGCCACGCACCTTGTAGCCACCGCAGGTGAGGCCTGCATTCCTCTTGGCCAAGACGCACTTCATCCTCAGGAAGAAGGAGCGCTCCATCTCGTACTCTGGGAGAGAGGAGAGGAGGGCAAAGCAGAATGTGAGACAGGCAGGTGGCACCGCCTGCAACAGCTAACTGGGGAGAAGCTAAAAGCAGGCCACGATGGGCCCGAGAGCCAGAGCCTGGCAGGCATGTGTCTGCCCTTACCCTGTACGAAGTGAGAGTGGTAGGGTTGGTGGGCCGTGAGTACCGCGGTCATCTCGTCGTGGTCAGCCGGGTGAATGTATTCATAAATACTGTTCCCGGTCAGTTCTACCTGTAAACAGGAGGGTATAACTGTCCTGTGATGGTGGACTGCCCCATGAGAGGGAGGGGGTTGTCAGACTGGGCCAGGGGTTTGCAGGACTGGGGATAAAAACTGGAACTCTGGAGTCAGCCTTGAGTTCTAATTCCAACTCTGCTGCTTGCTGCCTATCCCAGTCTATCTAAACCTCATTTTCCCTATCTAAGAAATGAAAATAATAATAACAGCAGCTCACTGGCAATATTCTGGTAAGGACATCATAAGATAAAGTATGTAATTGCTTCTCCTAGTGGCTGGCTTATGGTACAGGCTCAAAAAAATAGCCATTATTTGGGCCTGGGGTAGAAGTTAAAGGATAAGGGAAGTCAAGGAATGGGGAGATCTGCACTCGTTTAAAGACCTAGGCCCCCTCTCAGCTGAGTTGCTTCCAGTCCCAAAACTGCAGATATGAAACTTTTGGAAAGTCAAACCCCTTTCTCCTCCACCTCTAGCTGTAAATGTAAAGACTTCAGGCTGGAGGTGCAGAACCCCATCACCACCACCACCTACCTGAGAAAGACCCAGGTGGACTGAGGCTGTCTCCGAGATGTACATGATTTTCCCATCTGGGGCCACCACAAAGATGAAGCCATCTAGGGTCTGAGGAGGCAGAAACAGTAAATAGAGACCTCTCTAGGCCACTTTGGATAAATCAGGGAGGGGAGAAAGATGTTAGAGAGGTTCAGCTAGAAGTGCAGACAGGTGGAGTGAAGAAGGACTGGCAGGAAGCAGGATATAGAAAACCAGCCTTAAGGGTCCCCTCTTTAATTCATTCCCAGTCTGAGTCTGGGGACATGCACCACACTGGGAGAGCTCTAGAGGAAATGGTGGACAAGGCTACTGCCCTCCAAGAGTCAGGATTCACCAAAATGGTCACAATGGACACATCTGTAACACACACACACAAACATTCTGGAAAAAAATAACAGTCTACAATAAGAGGTGGCTTAGACTTTTGGGGCAATGGTCACTGAAAGAACAGAGGTCTCCTGTGTCAGTCTTGGAGAGCTCCATAGTGGCAGCATCTTATAAGACAAAGAGTACTAACGGGGTTGGAAAAGATCCATTGCAGCAGGCACTGGGCAACATGGAGGTTGTGACTGAAAAGTTTGGAGGCAGAAGGCAGCTAGCCAATGGCTCTGGAAAGAGTCCAGGAGAGTGGATTTAGGAAATGAGAGGCTTTACAGGCAGCAAATCCATAGAGTAATGCTATAGTGTGTGTGTGTTTACATTGATACATCAAACTGACAACCTCTCCATGAGGGAAACTATTGGACTTTCACTGTCCCTTTATCTCTGTGAATGAGGCCCCAGCCCAGGTAGTGGAGACAAGGATGAGTCAGACCCTGCTCTCAAGGAGCTCCAAGTCCTGTGGCCGTGACTGGCCTGAAGACAGATACAATAACCACACAGCTGAATAGACAGTGCTGACTCTTGAATTGAGTGGCCAGAGTCTTGGGAGAGAATCAGAGGCTATGAAGGTGCTAATGTTTGAACAGAGCCTTGAAGAGGAAACTTGGACTAAAGAAGGGAGGAAGAGCATCCTAGTCAGAAAGAATGGCATGAGCGAAGATAGGGACTAGGCGGAAGGTGGGTCTGGTGTATTCTGGGGTAATAAATTTGGTGTACCGAACATGTGCTGAGGAAGGACACTAGGGCTGGATTTTGGAGAATTTGGGCTGCCGATACGAGGAATTTCAGTTACCCCTATCAGAAACCCTGGTGGCATAGTGGTTAAGAGCTACAGCTGCTAACCAAAAGGTCAGCAGTTTGAATCCACCAGGTGCTCCTTGGAAACTTTAGGGGCAGTTCTACTGTCTCATATGAGTCTGACCCAACAGCAATGGGTTTGTTTGTTTTTGTTTTTTGTTTTTTGTTTTTTTTTTTGGTTTTATAAGCATCAGGGTTCCAAAAGAGGTTTCTAAGCATAACTTAATGTGGTTTTTGTTTTGTTTTGTTTTTTTCCTGGCAGAGTGCAAATGGTGACCTATAAGAAGAGGGAGTGGAAATGAGGAGATCAGAGCAAGGTATCTAAAGCAGAGCTGGTCAAGCCTGAACGTGGGAGGTCATAGGGGAATAGAAAGCAGGGAGAGTCTAATTCAAAGATGGTTCTGGCTTTGGAATCCATGCTATTTGGTGACAGAAAGAGAAGCTGAGGCTGACTTCAAGGCTTTAGGGAAGGCATTGAGCCAAGGGTGACACCACTAACCAAGATTGAAAACTGAAAGATGTATGAGGAGATTTTGTATAAGGGGGAGTCTGGGAGAGGGAGACAATGAATTCTTGTCTTGGAGATGCTAAACTTAGGATGTGTGCAGATTTCTGCTTGGATGTGTACAGTTCACAGTAGAAAATAAAGATCTGGAGCTCAGGAGGAGTCTAGACTGTAGATACCAGCTGGCGTCATGCACATGTGGGGAAGGGAGTTGAGGTGGTAGTTTTGGCTAAGATTATCCAGGAAACCTTAAACTGTGAAAGGAGAAACAGAGCTGGAACTCTGGAGAGACCCCAGCATTTACAGATCAGCTAGTGGTGGGAAAATCAAAGAGGTGCAAACAGAGAGCAAGGAGAAGAATATGGGAAATCATACTATTTTAAGAAACCATGGGAGTAGGAGAATGTCAAAGAGGAGCAATCAGTCATATCCCCTCTTTCTGGTCTTTGCTTGAATGTCACCATCTCCACAGGACCTACACAACCTGGCACACTATGCAGTGCACCTGTGTGGGTTTGCAAATCTGCTCTCCTTTAGAATGTAAACTCCATGAGGGCAAGGATCTCTGTCTGGCTCAGAGCTGGCCTGCTTATATTTGTGTAATGAACTAGTTCAGGTAGG